GACAACCACTCACACCCGCAGCCATGCTATCACCAACTAGCCGAACACATGTCTTTGAATTGTGATGAAGCCAGAGAACCCAAGAGGAGAAAATGCAAACGGCACACAGAAGGACCCCGGCCGACCTTCCTGCAATGAGGCAACATCACTATCACACGATCATGCCACCATGCAGCTTGAACGAACTATACTTAGTCATTCGTGGTAAATGTTAACGTCCGGCGCCGAATCAAATGTCAACAAACAGAATGTAGTTTTATCCAAAACACTGTTGCATGCATGCACCCTGATCACCAATCATCCTAAAGACAGGAAGTCAACGGATAATTCTGGTTTGTTTCCATTCAGCGTGGCTTTTAAAGTTTGCAGAATTGATCTGAAATGAAACAGAGGGACTGATCGCTTTCTCGGTGCAAAGTTCAGCATGACCAAGAGCCAGCATATCTGCTGCCATGTCAAAATAACCTGGAAGGTTCCTTTAAACCAGCTCACTGTACAGCCCAGCTTAATGTGTACAAGCACAATGTAAGAGTGTATGGTATTCATTTTATTTCTGTTTTCATTTTTATGATTCAAACTCTTAAAATCAAGAAGTACGTTTTTTAAAAACAAACTTACTCCGCTGTAGTGATGCTAGCTCGATCACACCAGGAACACAAGTGTTTTTGTTCATTTTTTAGCCTGTGGGTCATATGTTTTGACTCTCCTGTGCTATAAATTATTTGAATGTAAATAATAAATACTCTAATGCATTTTTAAAGGAGCCTGTATGAACTTATATATCTGCCTGCTCTTAAATCTTTGTGTTTTCACTTTGCTTCCTGAACATCTGCAGTTAATTCCTGGCAAATAACTTAAATTGTATGACACACGACTGTTTATGCGCTATGACCACAGTCTAACTGTATCTCTGTACAGTGAGAGCTGTGCGGGCTGACAGGAAGCGAGCTGATTACAGAAAAAGCGTCTCGGTGGCAAACACCTGCGTGCTGCTGCAAACGTAAATTCACGAGGAAGACCATAAATGTACCACGACACTCTCAGGTTGTTAATGACGTTGCTGCGCTGCTGCTGACGTCGCCCGACGTGTTAGTCCTAAATTTATTAAAGCCTTCTTTTGTTTACGCCGTCAGACCCAAAACAAGCCCGTTGGTTTTCAAAATAAAAGCACCGCTTCCGCGTGTTATTCCTAGGCTGAACAGAATAAACAGTTCTGTAGTTCTTATTCTGTGGAAGTGTCATAGTGTCGTGTGACTGTGTACACTGTAATATGGGAAATGTTTAGTACATGTACCGACTAATACATAAAGTCTTAAGCAAAGATGACACTGCTGTGACGTGTGTGCTCTATTATTTCGATAAAGCAGAAGATTCAGTCTCAGCTGATAGCTCAGCAGATAGCACACATGCACAACATCACATCACAGATTTGCACACTGTATAATAATGCTGCAAAAATGTCTTCAGAATTTGATAAGTTAACTTTTCTTAAGAACATTTAAACATGTAAAATAACCTTAGAAATAACAATCACAACAACAACAGCAATAATAAAAGAAGAACGCCTCATAGCTTCTGACGTTTTTATTTGGCATGTGCAGAAGGGATTTGTCAAATTAGCTTTAAATTATAGTAAAAATGCATTTTAATTACTACATGAGTCTCAGCGTAGGCGTGTTTCTAGCAAACACACTAAGGGAAATAATGATCACGGCTCAGCCAAATGAAGTCAAACATGAACGTTTAGTCTTTGCACCTGCCATTAGATAAATGTTCTCTGCTTAGGAAAATCAAACATGCACCACTTTACTTCTTAATATCCAGGCAAAAAAATACTGATAACTCAAAGTAAGTACAGTCAATACTATTTCATTCAAACTAGCCAGAAGAACTGCAAATAGTGTATCCAGGTAGAATTACCTGAGACTGAGTATATACTGCTAGAAAAAAACAGTTAAATCACACATCAGATCAGTTTCAGTCCCTTTAGGGCTGGATTCAAAATCAAACTAAAAACTAAGATTATTCAAGTGTCCTCTTCTTTTTTGTTGTTGTGATTTTTTAGCAGTGTTTTTCAACTTTATCTACACACACTAACAGTTATACTCTCATAGAACTATAACCTCAGAATTTACAACATCAGTCACCTCAAGGCACTTTGTACTATAAGATAAAGACCCTACAATAGAAAGAAACTTAAAAAGAAACCGTTTTTTCCCATCAAACACCCAGCAGAGATCCTTCGTGGTTATTTAGAGGATGCTGTATAGTGTCCTGCTCCTTGCATCTAATTTCACTGGTATGTGTCTGTGTGCTGTGCCAAAATGTCACTCGTCAGCTGTGCATAGAAGCTGAGAAAGGCCACGATGAAAAAGCCTCAGGAGACGTCAGTGATACAACACAAACACGACCATCCACATTCAAAATGACAACAATAAAACAGGTAAAATTGTCTAACACACACAGTCGCATCAGAAGAGGAACGAGTTCCCAGTCACGATTTCACAAGGTCACGTCTTTTAAAGTCTGCAGGTGAAATCATGTGGGAAAAAAGATCAATGTAGCCACCGTGACATCACTCACATGACTATGACCTCTAGATTTGAAATCATTGGCTGACAGCATGTCGTGTGACTGCTGTGACAATAGGCTACCAAACTAAGTTTATTTAACGCTGCCAATCTTAGTTCACAAGCTGCACCCAAAACCTGTGTGGATGCCTCACACAGACACACATCCCTCAGTCGCTTACAGAGTTCCCAGGCTCCGGTTGCCTTGGTAACCTTCTAATTATTTACTACCAGGTCATATGTCGATCAGCGGTGTATGTCACCCTCATTCGAAAAAGTTGGCTTCTTTGGTGCCACTTTATTCCCTTTACCTGCAGTTATTTTGCTGAAGCTTTTATTTTTATTGTCTCATCACTTCCAGTGTGGATGCAGCTTAAGTAACCAGTAAAATTCTAGAATTTCACTCACCAAAACTGTAGCGCTTATTTTCTGAATGTTGTAAACCAGGCTTCCTTTCACTTGTGAACACTTTTCACCTCTCATTGAAGAGGACTCTTCAGTTCTAAAACCAGATTATGGAGTCTCGGGTATTTCACCTGTAGTAGAAACATCACTTTGATCTAGTTTGGTGAATCTGATCAGGCCTAGTGTACACCTGACACAAAAGGCAGCGACGCCCCTTCATCCAGGATCAATGAAGGGTCAGGCATCAGGCAGAAATCACAACAATTTCATTATGTGATGTGAAACTGGAAGTGCCAAGTGTACATGACTCTTACAGAAGAC